CAGAACTTTTAAAAAGGACACTTTCCCTTCCTCAGGATAGGCTTACAGTCCAAAATAAATGAAACTTGACTGGTGTCTGTGGAAGAATGCTTGATTTTACAAATTACATACCTTTTCCTGAACCGAATTCTTACGTAAGGATTGTCTCAGTCTAAAAAGGTAGTTTTAGGACAAAAACTCTTTGCCTTTCCGGTTTGAAAGTGACTTTGTATTTTGTTTTGTTTTGTTTTGTTTTGTTTTTTTGCTACCCATCTGTTTACTTTAGAAATATAAGCAAAGCCTTCCAATCACTCCCCATAAAAGAGGCTGCTCTGTATCATTCTTATCAGAGGATGTTCCATATCATTTCTCTTTTTTGTCATTTCTATTTATACTCTCTGATTTCCCAACACTAAGGACATAAGGACATGTAGAAGACGAACACAAATGTTTAGGCAGTCTGAATGTGTCATCTATTATCTAGAAACAATAGACACACAATAAAAAGACATGGCAATGTTTGATATGACTTAGTATGATATTCCCTCTGAAATATTTTTTCTCTTTATGTGCATTGGATACTTGCCCTAAAAAAGAATCATGCATTTATTTAGAGTGCATCCTTGGCCCAGTTTCTGTTTAGAAAAATACCAGTAATGTGCTTCACACAGTAAGTGTGCATATTCTATACTGTAATTTATCATTGTAAAAAAAATGTAATAAATGAAGGAGTCCCAATCCAATCCACATGTTCTCTTCTTCATTATCTTAACTTCCTTCTAGTCCTATTTCCTTGGGTTTAACAATATTCAGAGTATACCTTGTGCAAGTTGCTGGACTGCCATTAAGTACTATGTTCTATGTAGCACAATAACTCTTTGTGGTAGGACAGAAAAGGTCCGTCATATTTGACATTGATGATCAAAGTACTAAACTCAATCCAGCAACCCCTGTTCTGTGTGCATGTGGGCATGCATGCAAGTAATACTTTCTCTTTGTAGTGGCGTCCTTTCCTTGCTGCATATAAACCTTCCACAGCCCTTCATACTATTACATTCTGCAGCAACACAGGAAACATACTATACCAGAAAGGAAATGCATCACTCCACTGCTGAATTAGAACATATGTCGACACCTGCAATTGTGCCATATTACTGTCAAAATGTCACCACTAAAGGAAATGTACCTTTTAATGCCCAAGTCTCCAAATGTTCTCTTGTGTTTCAACATGAAAATCATAGGAGATGCCCACTCAAGAATTGGTTCATGTGAGACTAGACCACATTACACTGATATAACTTATTATATACAACATATATTATGATAAGTTATATATACTATATAAGCTATGTTGTTGTTGTTGTTAGTCGCGAAGTCGTGTCTGACCCATCGCGACCCCATGGACAACATTTCTCCAGGCCTTCCTGTCCTCCACCATCCCCTGGAGTCCACTCAAGCTCACACCAACTGCTTCAGTAACTCCATCTAGCCACCTCATTCTGTGCTGTCCCCTTCTTCTTTTGCCATCTATTGTTCCCAGCATTAGGCTCTTCTCCAGGGTGTCCTTCCTTCTCATTAGGTGGCCAAAGTATTTGAGTTTCATCCTCAGAATCTGGCCTTCTAAAGAACAGTAAGGGTTGATCTCCTCTAGGACTGCTTTGATCGCCTTGCTGTCCAAGGGACTTGCAGGAGTCTCTGCCAGCAACACAATTCAAAGGCCTCAGTCCTTTTGCGCTCAGCCTTCCTTATGGTCCAGCTTTCACAGCCATGCATTGCAACTGGGAAAATCTTAGCCTTGACTATATGCACTTTTCTTGGCAGGGTGATGTCTCTGCTTTTTAGTATGCTGTCTAGATTTGCCATAGCTCTCCTCCCAGAAGCAAGCGTCTTTTAATTTCTTGGCTGCAGTCCCCATCTGCAGTGATCTTGGAGCCCAGGAAAATAAAATCTGTCACTACTTCCATTTCTTCCCCATCTATTTGCCAGGAAGTGAGAGGACCGGATGCCATGATCTTAGTTTTCTTAATGTTGAGTTTCAAGCCAACTCTTGCGCTCTCCTCCTTCACCCACATCAAGAAGCTCTTTAGTTGCTCTTCACTTTCTGCCATGAGAGTGGTATCATCTGCATATCTGAGGTTGTTGATATTTCTCCCAGCAATCTTAATTCCAACTAGTGATTCATCTAGCCCCGCCTTTCTCATGATGTGCTCTGCATATAAGTTAACAGGCAGGGCGACAGTATACAGCCTTGCCGAACTCCTTTCTCCATTTTGAACCAATCAGTGGTTCCATGTCCAGTTCTCACTGTTGCTTCTTGACCCGCATATAGGTTTCTCAAGAGTCAAATAAGATGGTCTGGTACTCCCATCTCTTTAAGAACTTGCCACAATATGTTGTGATCCACACAATCAAAGGCTTTAGCATAGTCAATGAAGCAGAAGTAGATGTTTTTCTGGAGCTCCCTAGCTTTCTCCATGATCCAGCGTATGTTGGCAATTTCATCTCTAGTTCCTCTCCCTCTTCGAAATCCTGCCTGTACTTCTGGTAGTTCTCGGTCCACATACTGCTGGAGCCTAGCTTGTAGGATTTTGAGCATAGCATTGCTAGCATGTGAAATGAGTGCAATGGTGCGGTAGTTTGAACATTATTTGGCATTGCCCTACTTCAGGATCGGAATGTAAACTGACCTTTTCCAATCCTGTGGCCACTGCTGAGTTTTCCATATTTGCTGGCATATTGAGTGTAGCACTTTTACTGCATCATCTTTTAGGATTTTGAATAGCTCAACTGGAATACTGTCACCTCCACTAGCTTTGTTGTTGCTCAGACTTCCTAAGGCCCATTTGACTTCACATTCCAGGATGTCTGGCTCAAGGACAGTGACCACCCCATCGTGGTTATCAGGGATGTTAAGCTCTTTATTGTATAGTTCTTCTGTGTAATCTTGCCACCTCTTCTTTATCTCTTCTGCCTCTGTGAGGTCCCTGCCATTTCGGTCCTTTATCATGCCCATCTTTGCATGAAATGTTCCCTTCATATCTCCAATTTTCTTGAAGAGATCTCTGGTCCTCCCTATTCTATTGTTTATCATTTAAGAAGGCATTCTGATCTCTTCTAGCTGTTCTCTGGAATTCTGCATTCAATTGTTTGTATCTTTCTCTTTCTCCCTTGCCTTTCACTTCCCTTCTTTTCTCAGCTATTTGTAAAGCTTCCTCAGTCAGCCATTTTGCTTTCTTGCATTTCTTTTTCTTTGGGATGGTTTTAGTTGCTGCCTCTTGTACAGTGCTGTGAACCTCTGTCCATCGTTCTTCAGGCACTCTGTCTATCAGATCTATTTGTCACCGCTACTGTATATTCATCAGGGATATGATTTAGGTCATACCTGAGTGGCCTAGTGCTTTTCCCTACTTTCTTCAACTTAAGCCTAAATTTTGCAACCAGAAGCTCATGATCTGAGCCACAGTCAGCTCTGGGTCTAGTTTATACTGACTGCATAGAGCTTCTCCAGCTATGGCTGCAGAGCACATAGTCAATATGATTTCTGTGTTGACTGTCTGGTGATGTCCATGTGTAGAGTCGTCTCTTGGGTTGTTGGAAAAGAGTGTTTGCTATGACCATTGTATTCTCTTGACAAAATTCTACCAGCCTGTGCCCTACTTCATTTTGTACTCCAAGGCCAAACTTGCCTGTTATTCCGGGTATCTTTTGGCTACCTACTTTAGCATTCCTATCCCCCATGATGATAAGGACATCATTTTTGGGTGTTAATTCTAGAAGGTGTTGTAGGCCTTCATAGAACTGGTTAACTTCAGCCTCTTCAGCACTAGTGGTTGGGCATAGACTTGGACTATTGTGATGTTGAATGGTTTGCCTTGGATTTGAACTGAGATCATTCTGTCATTTTGGAGATTGTACCCCAATACTGCTTTTCCTACTCTTTTATTGACTATGAAGGCTACTCCATTTCTTCTGAGGGATTCTTGCTTGCAGTAGTATACCTGATGGTCATCTGAATTAAATTCCTCCATTCCTGTCCATTTTAGTTCACTGATTCCTAAGATGTTGATGTTCAGTCTTGTCATCTCTTGTTTGAACATATCCAGCTTGCCTTGATTCATGGATCTTACATTCCAGGTTCCTATGGAGTATAGATCTTTGCATCATCAGACTCTCCTTTCACCACCAGATATATCTGCAACTGAGTGTCCTTTCGGCTTTGACCCAGTCACTTCATTCTTTCTGGCGCTACTAGTACTAGCCCTCTGCTCTTCCCCAGTAGCATATTGGACACCTTCCCACCTGAGGGGCTCATCTTCCGGCGTCATATCTTTTTGCCTTTTGGTATTGTCCATGGTGTTTTCATGGCAAAGATACTGGAGTGGGTTGCCATTTCCTTCTCTAGTAGATCACATTTTGTCAGTGCTCTCCGCTGTGAACTGTCCATCTTGGGTGGCCCTGCATGGCATAGCTCATAGCTTCATTGAGCTATGCAATCCCCTTCGCCATGACAAGGCAGTGATCCATGAAGGAGATATAAGCTTTACATTGTTTTAATATTGTATAATATATTAACATATGCACATCATAATAATATGATTATATATACACACACACACACACACACACACACACTATATTAATAATAATACTTTTATAACATTTATAATATGCACCTTTTCAGGACTGGAGGAACTCATCTGGTTTATCTGTAATAAAAGCTGTAATCTGGGATGCTGTTTGAGAAGTCCCTGGAAACCTTGTTTATTTCAGAGAGATAATTGTTTTGATGAAGTAGGTCTGCTCTCTGTCAATCATTTGCATGTTAACATTATGCTGAAAAATTGACATGTTCCTCTGGATTGACATTTTTAAGTATGGATAGTATCAAAGCTGAAGATCCATTCAGTCTGACAGTGGCTAATCAATTATCTAATGGAAAGACCTGGTTTGATAGAATCAGTGTAAATGTATTGATAATCTTATTTCCACTTAGGCAGTAAACACTTGATTATGTTTTGCAGGATATGAATGATTACTCCCCAATATTTAGCAAACCTTTTTACAGGGGCATGGTTGCTCCTGATGCAATTAAGGGCACCGTAATCACAACAGTTGAAGCTGAGGATCAGGACCCACCGGTAAGCAAGAGATTTTTTCTTTTTAATTAAAAAGTTTTCTTAATTCATTGGGACCAGCAGGGAATTCTTGAAATCCACATAAATGGTCTTAATTCTCTGAACAACAGATGTAATAAGTATGACTTTTGAAAAAAATAAACAGCTTCCCTAAGTAGCTTCCATGCAGTTTTCCTCCTATCTATCCTGCATGCCAATTCTTGTTCCCAAGTCTAATAAAGATATAATGCAGTGTCCTTTTTCATCCCCATTCTTTCCATACATACATCACTGTTTCTTTTATGATGGAATTATTTCTGTGTGAAACTCTTATCAGGCCTTAGTGATCAGATGATAAATTTGAAGAAGCAGAGGAAAAACACTGTGGCTGCCACAGAAAATAAAGGAAAAACATTCAAGGATTGTGTTGTTCCATTGTTATATGTCTTTCGGCATGAAATATGCATGCCTAGAAACCTTCGCCAAAAATCTTTTTAAAAATGCAAGGTTTGAATATAAGATAGTTGGTTTTTTGCAAGTAATCTTCCCACCAACATCTCAGTTTCCAATAAAAGTGAGTCTGGCATTTGAGTGACAGAGTCGTGCACACTTGATAATTTCATCTTTTCTTGTCAAAGCACTGAAGAGTACAAATATTTGAAGGATGCATTCTGAGAGTTCTAAAGGACAACACACAACTAATTCTGCCTCAGGAGTGAGAAAAGACTTTCAAATAGTGCAGTGAATTCCATTTCAGAGAATCTCTTGGGGTCACAATTCAGTGGTGGGTGAAACTGAAGGCAAAGGTGCAGTCAATCTACCACCACTGTCTCAAAAAAGAAGAACCAGAATATTTTAGCTTAAACTTCTTTCTGTCACTAAACAAACCTTAGGATAAGCATTATGAGTCAACAATGTGTTGGAGCTCCAAAAGCCCCAAATACTAGGTTAGGCTACATTAATACAAGTATCACTTCCAAATCATTTGAAGTCCTAGTTCCCCTTTACTCGGTCCTCATTAGGCCTCATCTGAAGTACTGTGTCCAGTGGTGGGCACCATAGTTTAAAAGGATAATGTCAGTTTGGAAAATGTTCAGAGAATGGCAACAAGGAACTGAAATCAAAGCTTTATGAAAAGAAATTGAGGGAGCTGGGCATGTTGAACCTCAAGAAGAGAAGACTGTGGGGAGATAAGATCTCATGCTACAAGCACTTGAAAGGTTGCCATAAAGAGGAAGGACAGGATCTCTTCTCGATCATCCCGGAGTGCAGGACATGGAATAATGAGATTGAGTTACAGGAAGCCAGATTTCAGCTAGATATCAGGAAAATTTTCCTGACTGTTGGAGTAATACAACAGTGGAACCAATTACCTACAGAGGTTGTGAGCTTCCCCACACTAGAGGCATTGAAGATGCAACTGGGCAGCCATCAGAGAGGGTTGGTTTAACTTGGTGTCTTACACTGAACAGGGGGTTAGACCTGATGACCCTTGGGCCCTTTCCAATCTACCATTTTATGAGCCTATGATTAAGAAAGGCATTTCAACTTTTCAGAATGGAAGAAAAGCTAGGATACCACCAAACCATCAGTGCTTAGTTGGAAATTCTGAGCCCAAGAGAATGCGCATGACATATGGGGAACCCCTCTAGGGATTTTCCATTGTCCCAGGTTCCTATGAAGCCCTGTTGAATATTTAACCAGTTCTCATGTAAAAATTATATCTCCTTCTACAACAATAAAAACAGCAAAGCACTATCTTCAGTGTAGTTGATACTGTACACTGCGACAGAATCATCAAAGAATCTATTGTCTTTCTGCCAGCAGAGTCTCTGCAGTCTTGCAATCTCTAGATATGCTGCTAATGCAGAACAGTGACCAGAGACCTGGAGAAGAAATACTTTCCCATTTTTTTCAAGGATCCTTTCTGAATTTTCCCCACCCCAAACTGAACAATTTTGGAAAATGAAATGTTTCCTTTTAGAATGATAAATAATATGATTGACACAAGAGTGCCTGAGAAAGGTTAGTAAAATATTCATATGTTGCTGTCCAGCCTTTCCCCCAAAATTGTTTCTTCATATTATTCAACTGGAAGAATTTTACAGTAAGATGTAATACTTCTGAACATTTTGAATCCTCCCTGTCTTCTGTGCAAGTTGAGCTAGGAGCAGGCCTAAGAGATTATCTATTTCACTCACCTTGCTGGGGGCAGCGATGGGAACTGAGAGGCTGGACTGAGGCAGAATCACATTCTCTCCTCTCCCCTCTCCACTCACCAGCATGCCCTATTTTCTTCCTCTCCCTCTTGTTCCAAGGTTGCAGCATTGTCCTTGGGAGAAGCGGATGGACAGGGAATCTCATCTGGAAGCTTATAGCATTTCTTTCTGAAATGTTTATTAGGGGAATTGTTTACTAATCGAAATAAAACGTTGCTGTTCAAATAATGCGTTGAAACTGCATAAAGATCCTTAATCAGTTGTAATTCCTAATGGGTAAGTGAGTCTCCCCCAGCTAAGGAATTTCTTAGCTGTTTCTTCAGAACAGATTTCTCTGAACTTCACCCCAACAAATTCCTCCCAAACAGGGGCAGATGCTGCAAATCATTTTCTCCGCCTCCAGTTCTTCCTGTTTGTTCTAATTTCTCTGAGATGAATCCGATGTTTCATGCATTACTTGCTGAAGGTTCCTTTGCTCATACATAAAAGAGAAACCTAAAATATATTATGCATAACTTGCTTTGGTGGTAAAATACTTGGTGTATTAAAATGAAAATTATGGTCAGACAACAATTATTTACTGAGTTTTCTTTAGAGAGTTTTTAATTTTAATGATAGCTTTATGAACAAATAAAGTCATACACTTGATACATGTTATGTCCCTAAAATAACAGAGCAACTAGATCTGTAAATAAAGCTAAAAGAAAGTATTGTAATTTTCCCTTCTGCACACACACAGTATTTCTGTGTTTTCAAGGCAAAAAATCCTCCAAAACCTACTCCCATGACTTCAACATTACTGATTTTTTTAGATCTCTAGCAGTGATCATGGGGACCTTTCCATACTTCAGAAGATGGGGCAAAGAGCACAATGCAACAGTGTCCACCTGTATGACGGGCCCATTACTACCTTGTTCCATGTATGGCCAGCCCCATCCATTTACTTGTGCAGTGGAGATTCAGTACACTTAGATCTGTAACAAGTCAGATCAGTGCAGCTTCCTTCTGCAACTCCTGCCAACCTGCCTTCCAGAAACAAGCATTTCTGCTAATTTCAGGTTGTCCCAAGAAGCAGTACATCTCCATTCCAGTTAATGCCATTTGAGGAACAGAATTGGTAGGTCTGGCCATGTCTGGGTTTTTCTTGTTGAATTCTGCCCAGATAGATTTAAGGTGAGGAAAGATTCTTGAATTGGTTTAATAGGCCAACCCTTGGATTTATTGACAATTAAATATATGGTTATTTCTAATGATTTATAATAATCAATTGTGGGTTATCTTGAATAAATACCCATGATTCAAAACTTTGCAGGAGGATACAGAAGTGTCTCCCCTCTTCTTTCTCTGTATGATGCTCTACCAGCAGAGAGAGATTATATCCCTTCCTTTTTTAAAGAGATGGATGCTCTGGAGTTTGTTAGGATGGTTTTTTCTTTTCCTGGACATTTCCTGTGATCTAATCCATAGACAAATGGTAGATTATCCTGTTGCAACAATCTTCCTGTAGAAGTGCCCTGTATTATCTGCACTTAATGCTTAGTATGTGTATTATGATACTTAAGGGATTTATCTCAACTAGCATTTACTGTACGTATAAGTACAGTGGCCACAATGCTACTTCTGCAGCAGCAAAAGAAGAGGAAGAAGAAGACACAAGGCAGAATAAGGTCCGTTTTCCCCTTTGCCATCAAATCCACACTTTCAACAGAGGTTTATTGACACATTCAGCATTCCACTGATGAATCTAAAACAGATTTTGGAAGAAACCATCATGTGCTGTTTAGTAACTTCTTCTTGGCAGAACTCCTTGAGTTGACATTTGCCTCATCAGTTTGAAGATAAGTGGACTTGCCCATTATTACTGTGCTTGTCTCTTATTTAGCTCCCTTCAAAATAAATTCCATCCTACTCAAATTGGCATCTTTTATTGTCTTAAAAGAAAAACCGATTTCTTGTGCTTATTTATTGCAGACAACTCATGTTTAGTGAAGTGGCATGATGCCATTGAAGGACACCAAGTAATCATAGCCAATCTGATCAAAAGCTTGAGAATAGTTATTCAATAGCAGTCTATTAGCAGGGGGCAGAAATTGAGCTATTAGGACAATCAACAAGAGCATGCATAATGTTCTTGCTTTATTTATAAGTAAATAAGCTGAGAGATGAAATGTTAAGGAGCCTCATGGCTCTTTTATTTATGCATTCGTGTTGCCACTGTTGAAATGCTACTTTCTTTGTACTATATTGATCAGAGCAATTTCAAAGAGGACAAGGATACAGTAAAGGTAAAGTTCAAGTTTATCTCCTAGGCTATAGGTAAAGTTCAAGAGGTGGAGTTATTCAGCAGGGCCCAGTTTCGTTTCTCTTTTAGACTGTGGTTTCTTTCTTCATCTCTGATTTTTAACAATTGTGTTAAAAGATCTTCTTCAGATGTTCTGTCTGCCTTCTAGCCTCCTGGCCTTTATGATTCCTTCTCATGCCTTTTCTCTTTCCAGCCCCAGTTTCTATTCCATGGGGAATCAATCCAGTGTCGTTTTAATTGAGATGCTGCTCTTGGCTACTTTTTTCTCTTGTGGTTTCTTTGTTGTCACAAAACAACTTGTGCTTCTGGCAACAAAGACATCTCAGGAAACACCTTCAAGCTGTGAATTTGTCTCTTCAAGAGGGGAGCAAACCAAGGATGAACCCCATGCCTTTGGCCCAATTAACCTCATGCCCTTAGCACGTATTATCCAGTTGTTCCCTATGGCTAGTTCAAGGGCATTTCACTTTCATGAACCAGCAATAATGCAATATACCAAGTGCTTGCTAGGAAATGTTGGTGGCAATTGCCACTTGTTTTCCACTGCCATAGTAAGCACTAGCTATTTTGTTCAAGTGATGGCTTACACTAGTACAATATTACTAGTACTTACACTAGTACAATATTACAGTAATATAGTACTGTTGTGAGCAGGACTCTTCCTCTTCCTTTTCCTCTCCAGCAGACTTTTTGAGAACTTAGAAGCACAATCATTCCATTGGAATTAACAACTTACAAAACAGTATACAATCAAGGTAAGGTTCCCTTGGAGATGAGGGGAAAGCATCTGTCCACGGGAAGAGCCGAATCCAAACTTTCAGAAAAGATTCTGACTCACCCCTCAAGTGATTCCTGCTGCTTAGGGGCTAGATGACTGGCACATCAAGCACTTCCTATTTGGTCTGCTCATTTTTGCCTGTTGCCTCTTTACATGGTCAAGGAACACCCCCTCAATCACTATCTCCCTGTTCTGAAGTGTCTCCCTCCTTTTCCATGTTTTATTTCTGAAAATCTTCACTGGGTATTTTTGAAACTGTGAAGTCTTCTAGCCACCCCTGTCTCTCTGTCTTCTCTTGAAAACTGAATGGATCTATCTTACCAGAGTGTAACATGTGAAATCTATGTACCTCTATTTTGTCTGGACTGGTGCGTCAATGTATTTTTCCTCATCCAGCCATTACTACAGTTTGATGATTTAGCACTTCCACTGCTTCATGTGAATTTGACTTTTTTAATAGTGTGGGGTGTCATGCCTAGTATTGGTGTTGATATTATTTATTACAGTTCTATACCATCCAGTGGCCAGAATTTTGGGATGCTTTGCAAAAATTAAAACATTGAAAATACATGATAAAATGTAAGACCCATTCACCAAATCTATTCAAAACACTCAGGACTCAAGGCACCCAGAAGTACCATTGTAGCAGCACTTGCTCAGCAAGAAGAAGGGCTTAAGAATCTTGAGGTTCTTCCAGAAACTGGCCTCCAATCTCAACCACCATGGAGCCTTCCTTGAGCAGAGGGGAAGGGAGAGCAAATCATGGGAATTCTAGCTGTTATTTTTGAAGGTCTGATAAAAAATAAGAGTGGAGGTATGGCCAGGGAAAGGTTAAGGCTTATGCTTTTGTGGTGGATTCTTTATTTGCAATTCAGTCATCTGAATTATGGCCACATCACTACATATTCCACAGATACTTTGCTCTAGGATTTTGTGTTTCAAGAATTTAAGTACTGTTAGCCATTTTCCAAAGTCACATGTTAGTTTGCATGTTAGCTAGCTATAGCCTTATCTATGTTAAAACATATCCATTATTTGCTTATCTTATGTCTTACCATAGTTATAATTACCATAGGATTATAACACCTCTATCTATATGCAAGTAAAACCCAAACCACTAAAATAGTTAAAGTATTTCATGTTCACATTGAAAGCATGTCAGTTTATTGAATTACAAGCCAATATAAAACAATAATGAATGGCATAGGAACACAAATACACAACATGAAATCATATTTTGGTTATGTTTCTCAATCAATTACAATGTTTCCAGTAAGTATAATATCCCAATGTTATTTTTAAAGTGATGGAGCAAAAGTAACTTTATCAGGAATAATGATTTTCTGCTGGCTTTATAAATTCAGTAACAAATTACGTATTGTGCAGATGTTTAATGATAATTGTAGGTTTTATTCATCGGAACAGAATGCAATTTTCGCTTTTCCAAACCAAATTATCTGTATTTGAGTAATTTCTCAGTAATTATACTTTGAAAAAACACTATTAAATCAGCGTTCCTTCTGACATTAAGAGTATAATCATCTTTGTGCATTCTAATCTCATTGGAATTCCTTATGTTGGCACGAATCTGAAGATTGCCTGTTTCAGTAATAGATAGTATCCTGAATTTTGGTGCATCATACCTTGCTGTTATTGGGGGAGAGGGGGAGGAAGAGGATTGTGGCACAGGTGCCCCTTGAGTTCCCCAATAGATAGCCAAAACATGCCTGCTTTAAAATGCTATACCCTATAGCATGGGTCCTCAAACTATGGCACGCAGGCCGGATCTGGCCCGCCATGCCCATTTATCCAGCCCACCATAGAGGTTTTGGACTCACCGCACATGCGTGGCAAGGCGGGGGCTTGTTTGTGCGGAGATTATTTTAGACTTTCTCGGACAAAAGGATCTCCTTGCGAGCAAGCTTCCACCGTGCAGTACGTGCGCCCAGTGGTGGCTTGCTTGCAAGGAGATCGTTTTGGACTCGATCGGAAAAAACGATCTACTTCGAGCAGGGTGGCGCCTCGCCACGTGTGTGCTCACTTGCCCCCCGCCCCGGCCTGGCCCACACCATCTTGGCAGCCCGTGCCCATTGCCAACACCTTTCAACTGGCCTCATTTAAAAAGTTTGAGGACCCCTCCCTATAGATTCTCAATTATATCCCTGGCTGAGTCTGCTCAAACCTGCAAAAAGTGGTTCAGACCTATTTTCTATAAGCCTCTTTTGGTTGCTATGTATCTGATGGAGAATACTGGCTAGAGACCTGCAAGGTCAATGCGATAATTTTGGAAGGACAAAGAACTGCTTTGCCCACTTCCACCTCTTTCTCTTCTGGATCTGCAAGATAATTTGGCTTCAGGGAATCATGGCCATTCATTGAGCTGTCTCACTGTATGCACACGCATAGGGAAAAGATCACATTCAGTTGAATGCCAGAGCCTCCTTTCAGGATCATACTTGTACTTTCCCAAGTGTGTGCATCCCAACCCTACCCCCTGCCACTGCATGAGGGGAGCACGAACCCTGTAAATTTCCTAACTACTCTTGTGGTGGTTTTCCTGCCCTGCAAAATACCATCTAACAGTTTTGTTCCTGAACACAAGGAGAAGAGGCTGAGGCACCACCTGGATCCAACATATACTGGTGGTGTGCATTTCCTCTGCTCCCTGCTCCTGGAATACCCACAATGCTCCACTCTTGTAACTTTGAAGCAACAGCTGGTGCTTTTATTTCCATTTTGTTTGCAAGGGTGTTCCGACCTAGAGGTCCCAGATCCAACCCTGGAGTCCCAGCTCTGACCTTAGATCAAGTTTCTAAGGTCAGAGTTGGGGTTCTGAACTCCACTAGTGTCCCAAGACTGTGCTTTCAGACGTCTATCTCAGAATTGTCTGTCAAGTCACAAAAGGAAACATCACATTTTTCAAACTACACTGATTTATATTCATCCTATATGACCCCCATTCTGTCTCCATCCCACCCTTGAACTTTTTTCCATCTGTTATTCTAAATTTTCTCAAGAAAATGTTGGCAGGTAAACCATTTAGCTTTCCCCTACCTTTTTTCCCTTGCATAAATGTATTTTCCCTTTTACACACACACAATATTTCTGTATGGTTTTGAGTTAAAGCCATTTTCCAGAATACTGCCTACTTGGCTCTTTTCCTTCTACAAACCTGTCTTTCTTATTAGATAAGAGACTGTGTGTAAAGTAAAATCACTGTATATTGGTCATCATCCCATCTCAGTTTTGTCTTACTAAAAATATGTAACCATTCAACAATTTCAACTATTTATTATGGTCAGTGACCAGTAAGTTCTTAATAAACAATTTACAAATAACCAAACAAATATATAACCATTTCAATTCATGGATGGAATGTGTACACAGCCAGTATCTCCCCATTCTGTGCTAGGGTGTAAACTAATGTTTAGGCAGAAATAATACTTGCATTTCAGTGAATTTGTTGATGAGAAGTGGGGGTATTGGTCATGCCCTTTATAATTCAACTCTAAAACCCACTATCAGTTACAAAAGAAGCAAATGATCTTTTATTATCTAAATGCAGACTTGTTCCATTTAAATGGCTACATCTTTCTTAATAAAGCATCAAATACCACTTTTCACTGACATATTCATTAAAATGATCGGTATCTTTACACTGTATTTATTATGAAGATATAAAATAGTTTTGTTATTATTGATCACATATTCAATAATGCTTGCCCTTTAATAACCATCAGTAAGTAGATTGATAAATTTCTTCATGGGAAAAGAGTGTCTGGCTGATAACGGATGGCAAAAACGCAAATACAGAAATGCCATACTTTCTCCATAGGGGCTGTACCATGTATCTGAGATTTTTTTTTTTTTTTTAAAGATTTCCTCTTCCACAATAAAATTGCAGAAATGAGGCAAGGTATTTGCATAGTCAGTGTGGAAGCATAAAACCACTCATAAAAGGGCTTCTTTGTGGGGTTGCAAGGGGTGGGGTGTTTGTGTGTGCTAGGCTTGTATGTGTGTCAAGAATCTCCTTAGAATGCAATACAAGGTCCTGAAAAAGAGGAAGAGCCTCTTTTTCATGGGCCTATGAGTAGGCTTACATGCACCTTTGGCTTATGGCTTATGACCAGGGAAGTAAGCACCTCATAGAGCATAATCACACATGGTCGGGGAAAGTATCCAGTCCTCTCTTGCCTTCTGGAGAGCTGGCAAAAATTGATTTTAGCTTCTAAAACTTGAACTGTCAACTTTTCTTATGTTTACAGATCTATGGATACATGGCAATTTGTCATATAAATGTGTATGTTTTATGGATGTGTAAACTGTGTGTCAGATCTTTAAAATGTTTTGTGGCACATATATGCATGGAAATGACCATCAAGTGTATGATTTGATTTGATTTGATTTGATTTGATTTGATTTGATTTGACTTGATTTTTTAAAACTTCCCAGCAGAATAATGTGGGGATATATTGCAGTAATTCAGTCTTCTTTTCCAAGTCATGCTACGTGCAATAAAAATCGTTTGTTTGTTTGTTTAGGGGACACCAGCAAGTCGAGTAAGGTATAAAGTAGATGTTGTCCAGTTTCCCTACAGTGCAAGTATCTTCGATGTTGAAGAAGATTCTGGAAGAGTAGTAACTCGAGTGAACCTTAATGAGGAGCCTAGTACACTATTTAAGGTAATAGTACAGAAATAGTAAAGAAACCCCATTGACCATAATGGAAGCTACCATTCCAGTAAGCGCGCTTTATTTTGTAAAGCTGTCCAGTTTCCACTGAGTTGTTCTACTGGTTAGTTTCTTACTGTGTGACTGTGTTAATGGAAAATAGAGAGCAAGAAAGAAACATATCAATTCACAACTTATTGAGCATAAGCATGTTCTGGAAGCCCTACTTCTGTATGAAAACACGAACCATGTGTTTTGGAAGGGAAAAATGGACCACTGAGCAGTGGGGCTTCCCCCGGTACAGCAGTAAATGAATAGCCTGCAGCTCAATTACAGCTCCTAATTCAATTCCTGTCATGTGTTACGAACAGGATAATTTATTTATTTGTTGCATCCCTTCCATCATAAACTCTCAGCGGTTTACCTGAGGTTGTTCTATACCAGGACCTGCTTTCTTTCAGCAGGAGTAATTATTCTAATATTGTTCTTATCACCACTGCATGTGGTGAAGTGAAGCAATTTTGTTCCCCAACCCTGGGTCTGTTTTTCAGTACAGCAGGTCATAAAACTGAGCTTAGTCAGCACGAGGCAACTTCAGCTCCGCTACCCACACCATCAAAGTAGTTCTGTAAAATGCTGTCCTTGCAAAGGTGTGGGTTGGAAAGCTATGCGCTACGTTTTCCCTGGGAACACATGAGCAAGACCCATCTTTTTCATGGATGTTGTGTGCAAATAGAAATCGGCCTCAGACTGATGAGTTTGAAGGAAGCTCCAATGCAATCCATGTGATCGGTTCTGAAAAAGGGTGTATAAAATTGGGAAAGGGAACCAACAGATCTTTCTCCTTTTTCCTTCTACCAATCTCTTGTGTTGCGTTGGCAGTTGTTTGCTGAAGAGATCTACTGTGTTAATTAATTTTTCCAATTTAGCTTCTGTTTTTCTGCAGTTTTGCAGATGACACAGTAGCTTTAAAAGCTCAGATTACAATTATTAACAGAAAATCAAATTCAGCTCAATTTGGGGGATGGGAATTGTCTCAGTTCCTTTTTTGGAAAAGAAAAAGTGCATTTCTGTTTTGATCATTACTTTTTCTTATCTTCAAAATTGTTCCCTTTAAATGCAGTGGGAGAGGGGTTAAATTGAAAAATATGTCACACAACTAAAAAAATAAAAAAGGCATCTCTCAATGATTCTGACTACTTATTCATCTGTCTTCTTGGAAAACACCATCTGTTTATATAACCATAAGCCATGATTTACTTGTTTATTTGCTTATATGTGTTTGTTAAACTGTAACAGAAATGAAAACTATTTATTCTTAATAAGTAGAAGGAATGTGGCCTTATGACTTTTAAATATTTTGATATCTCTGCTACAGGCAAGCATTGCCATGAATAATCCACGTAATACAGTATTTTCCTCGAACCATTGGTAACTTACATCATTCTTTTCAGTGATGTAAGCGTCAACTCTAAACATACTTACTAGGGAGTGGGAGGCATAAAAATGCTTTAAATAAATAAATTAAATAAACCCTATTAAAGACAGTGTGACTCCTCAGTATGCACAGGACTGCACTGTATATTGGTTCTATAATTAGATTTTGGGTGTTGGTGCTAATATTAATCTGTTTTTTCTATCTATTTGGTAACTTGCATAAAACGCACTGGAAGTCCACTTTAGGAACACAGTGATGCCAGTGCAATAGGTTTGGACAGTAACTAAGCTTTTTATGAATGAAAGGACACCTCTTGTTCATGTGAAAGGGAGGCAGTAACCTTTGCTGATTCCAGTTCTTCTCTGCTTCTCCTGCACCCAATTTTCAGTAGAAATCTGAATATTGTAGAACAGATTTTCAGAGAGCACAAAGGTGATCCCCCCACACCTCAGTTCCGTTGGTCTGTGAAAGTAACTGCTCTCAACGGATGCCTCTTCCAGTAGCCATGATCTCCTTATTTAATTATTCAAATAATTATGTTAAGAATGGACTCAGTATAGCAGTGAATGCTTTGTCAAGAGGATGGTGAAAGAAAACAACTAACTGTGCAATACAGTAATGCTGAAATTAGAGATTTCCTAGACAGAGTGTGTCTAGGAATGAATGAATGGGATCTTCATCTAATGAATGGGATGTGCTGTGTACAAAATGAAGTACACATGTGGTTTGGGAAGAGTAGTCATCTTTGGATACTGGAGTCTCTGTATGGAAACATATGAGCAGGTTGTTTTTCACCTTGCCTCAACAAAAAAAACAACAACAACAAAAAAAGGAAAGGAAAGGAAAGGAAAGGAAAGGAAAGGAAAGGAAAGGAAAGGAAAAGGTTCCTGTAATTATTGCTGTCCAGGCTATCATTTAGTTTCACCTGAAGTTAAATGGTCTCAGAAGTTCATTCTTGGGTGAAACGTATGAAGAATTTTGAGACTACTAAAGAGACTTTCAATATAACTAGTGAAGCATCTCGGGAATGTCTGCACAGCCCTACATGAGATTTCCACCACTGTTCTTCCTTTTCTTTTCTGTACATAATGTATTTAATCTTTTGTTCAAATTTGGGATTATTATATAGAAAAAATGTTCTGTTAGGATTGCCTTTTTGCATACAGATTTCATGCCAGATATGCAAAGAAGAAGAAGAAGAAAGGCTTGGCTTTCTCAAGATTTGTTACCCAGCTTTTGTCATATATTTGCTTTTAAATAAAATGGAAAATCTTTAAGATTACAGAAAACATAACAAGGCTGTATGCAGAGCTGAGATTAATGCATAATTACACATTCAGTCAATGTGTTTGTGTGCTTAATAGCTCGTGATCATTGCCTATGATGATGGTGACCCTGTGAAATTCAACACCACTACTGTAGAAATTTCAGTATTGCAACCTTCCGTAATTCCACGGTTTACCCAGGACGAATACAGGTATAGTGTGTGTCCATTTCTATCATTAACAGTTCTTTTCAAAACTGGAAGTGGTATCTGTGGTTATGTTTTGCTTTGTTTTCTTTTTGCAATGGACAAATCGAGACTAAGTTATTTGTGGAAGTGCTTTCACCTCCCTGTCAGGAATCTTTGTCAAATGCCCATCAGTTTTAGGTTTGGTCTTCTTATTGGTGGCCTTAGCACTTTGGAACTTCCTGTTAATATGAACCAAATCACTTCTATGCAGACCTTTCTCAAAGCTGTTTTCTGCTGAACGTGCAACTGACTTTGTGTTTTGCGAAGTATTCTACATACTTGCTACGGTGGCTGTTACACCATATCTAACCAGGCTCTTAGTAAGGTAAATCTCTGAAAGCCAATGAATAAGTACTTTAAAATGAAATAAATATATAGATAATATTATGTGCTCTCTGAGGAAAGTAATATAGCAGTATTCTTGGAGCAAGTGTAGCAGTTAGAGATGATAAATTCTTTGTTAAGCATATACATAAATATAAGTATTTACATAATTACATGCATATATGTAATCTAGGAATCAAATGAATAGAAACTGTACAGAAAAAATACAATATGGTAAATCTGACTGCTTTGCTTGCCCTCATTCTTTACTTAGTGGAGGCACAATTTTGTAGATATAGTAGTCTTCTAACTGCATTGTGACCCTTTTAAAAACATTCTGAATTAAATTATGTGGCACCTAACAGTGGAACTCAAGACACTTGTCAAAGCCACTGAGCATTATGAACAAAGATATCCAGACTAATCAATCTAGTTTTCTGAAATTACTGTGTTGGTTACATAATCCTAGATTGGGTGAGATCTCAATAGTTAAGAAGAATCAAACCTTAAGGAAGAATTAAAAAAAAAAAGAATTCCACAGTCATAGTTGTGAATAGATACAGAAAAATAACATTTTGTGTAGCAGGATTTTTAGCATGGTGGGAAGGTATTTCAGTGCCTTTTTCAACACTGTGTTCCCCCTCAAAAGTATAATGGGTTTTACCAGGTTTACATAGAATCCCAACATTTGGCAAATAGAATGTGTGTTTTTTTTAACTGAAAAGGATAATGTTCTGTGCTGCATGAAAAAGGCTGCAAATTTGACAATGCCATGTTGTTAGCATCTCCTGTGACTGTTGACTCTGTACGTGCATAAAATGAAGTCGCTAAAGGAGCTGAGAAGGGTTTTTCCCCCTGCATTAGGATAATAGAAGTTCTCCTGTCTCTTTCTACCCTTCCAAATTCTGAATACCAGATGTGAAATTAAACCTACGGTGGAAAATTAAATATCTGGGGTTTTTAAAAGAAATGACACTGTCTTGTGATGAATTATCCTCTTTTTTAAAAAAGTAAAAGTTCAAAGGTACCTTGGATTTTTGTTAATTACCGCATATCTTGTCCTCTTCCACAACTAGAAAGTCATAGTTAATGGCCGTGGACTGCTTCTGTAGGCAATAAATTGCTAACTAAAAGTGCAATCAATAGCTATTAAGTATTGCCTGTGGACACATTTAACAGGTGTTCAGGCTTTTTATATCAAGCAAAGGAAAATAGTGGGCTCTTTCAAATGGTTTGGAATAGCATGGTAAACCCTGAGAATCATTTCAGGAATCTAAGTAGCACTGGCTTTTTGTCTGTTTCCCCACACACAGAGAAAGTGTAGAAGTTCATGGTGTTCAGCATGGCATGGATTAGAACAAGCATGTTTGAATTCACTTACACTGACGAGCCTTCCAAGGTTTATGCCATTGGAAGAAGAAGAAAAAAATATATACGGCTGCTACTGAGAAATTAGTTGTACATAACACAACTGAAATTAGCTGTACATAGTTGTACATTAGTTGTACATAAGAAGGCATTTTGAATGAAGGCAAATATACTCTCTGGGAGAGGAATTTCACTATTGCCTGCTGCTGTCTTGCAGCTCATGTGCATTTTGTGATACAAGTTCTGTGTGTGTTTATGCAACTTTCAACATGAAACAGAGAAAAGTGGGGAGCACATATTGACCAGTGCATGGTATATCACCTGAAAACTTCTTGCTGCCCAGATCCCAGAATAGTTTTGCAACTTATTTTGAAATGCTGCTAAATTGCATTTTCTTGAAGTGAAGTTTAGGGTAATTATTAAAGAAAATGTATGTGTCTCTTTAAATTATACTTTTTAAAACCCAGGAGCAACCTGGCATAAATGGAAACATTGCTAAACCAGCTTCTTGAGCCTAGCAAAGAAATTGCTAATTCGCCATTTGCCTTGTGGGTATACCAAAATTGCTTGGTTGTGTTTGAACCTCAGCTGAAAAATCCTATTGTGATTGTTCTTATAACATGCAACATCTGTCTTCACATAATGTCCAATAATATAAAAATAACCCTGGCTTAATGGCTGGGAACTTCTACGGCAGCCAAATCTAAGAATTCAGAAGGGCATCGTTCTCAGGCACTAGAACACAGTTTTGCCCACGTATGCATTTCCTTTTAATAGCCTCAATATCAATGCCCCAAAGCAGCTCATATATATTTGTCTTGCTGTCCCAGGTCTCCCGTAGAACAGTATAATTCTATAGGCTCTAGAAAATCTAGTTAATGGAATTTAGCACCACTAGAGTTGCATTTTTCTCCTCTCTGCCAACGGCAGCCTCCTCTGTCCTCCCAAAATTTTCTCTGGAAGGTCCTTACGTAACACTACAACAGATTCTGAGTGTACAGGAGAATTCCTTCTATGTTCTGTTGATAGAAACTGTTCTGCCAATGGGATGAGCTATTTGGATTCTATCCTGTATCTTTCTAGCCACTTTCTTGCTTCTCTTTTCTGTTCATTCTCTACGTGGGCCCCCACCTGAGGTATAGTCCCAAGAACATCTTTTGCTCTCACAAACAAAAGCATTTTCCCTAAGAAATGTAGCAGGAGCTTGTCCTCTGAGATACTCAAAAAGGTACAATAAATCAAAGTACTCTTCCTCAGAGGATTCTGTACGAGAATTTTTTTTTAACTCTGTCTTCTTTCAAAGTCAAATAACTGAATCTCAAGACACCTCCCTAAGGGAGTTTAATACAGAAGACATGAGGCATCTAATCATAGCAAGATTCTGCATCAACTGCTACAGTAAAGGAAGACTTTCTTCTGACCTTCATAAAGAAGTGAAAAGTTTCTCCAGCTCTTACCCTTATCAAAAGAAAGGAAAGAATTGCTGATTAAATCTTCAATAGCAAACATCCACTAGTGGGATCAGTTTTAACAAATCAAATAAACATACTTTATAAATGTGCTTTGTTAAATAAGTTAATCCATCATTATATTTATCCATCTAGGATTATATCCCACCTTTTCAACTATTTCAGATAAGAGAATGACCTATCCATATTTGATCTACCTTTGTAATTATGACATTGTGCTTGTCCTTTGAAGAGTTATTTAAAGGCTACAGTATGTCCACTGATTCCTTAGATTCTGAAGAACCCCTGACAGAAATATAACATTAAACACAACTTCTAGCTTTAATTTTAAATCATTGCAAAGATTATACAAAGATGCACAGCACTTGATAACAGTCTATCCGAAAGGAGTTTGACATTTATCTTTAAGGATAATAGGCCATATCAGTGGTTCATGGTAATAATACCTAACCTGCCTTGTCTTTTTTAAAAGAGTTAAATACCACTGGAAAGGTCAAAACGTTGTGAACCAATATGAGAAAAAGGGGGAGGGGCATAGTGAAAGGCATGCATTTCTATTGAACATACTTTGCAAATAACATTGCAGAGTGGAAAAAATATCAAACTGAACTTGTGGAAGCAATACACATTTTATTGAGGTGGCACATCATAGGCAAGCACAAAAGCATGCTAAGTTGAAAAGCTGCAAATTAAAATATGTTGCCTAAACCGTGTAGCCGAATCATATCACCCTCTGGTGTAGAGTGAGACATGGATTTAGCACTGAGGACCATTCTTGTGTTGCCAATATGGTGCAGGATCTGTGATCGGCAGGCGACGTGAACCCACCGCCAAATGCAGGATCCCACTTTCAGGAAAATTAAATTGTGGCAATGTGCCAAACTTGGGATTCTGTATCTGTCAGTTGAGTACAACGAAGAAAAGCTAAAAGTATGCACAGGAGTTCAGACTCTTTCCCCAGCACTCCCACACGCTCAAGTAGTCATCTGACATTCGAAGATTTTTTATCCAATAATGCTATTTGGGTCCTTACAGCTTGCCAATAATGTCCAAGCTTTTCTGAAAACTTGAATATAGATAAACATAGCTTTGGAGATAAGCATAACTTTATTCTTCAAATGTATCTATGGGGAGAGGGGGATTTATTAATTATTTGAACAGATATTTTCTTTACAGAATATGTTAAAATCCACATGAAACGTTTTTACAAATGTTAGATTAAAATGAACAGCTTTTCTAGTTTAACCAGTTCTAATGTCCACATTCTGTGTGTATCTGGGGTGGGGGGAGTTGAGAACAGCAAGGCCAAAGGAGAGATTCCTTTTCCCTCCCCTTTGTTTTTCTCTTTTGTCTTTATGAAGATAAAAAATTTAATTAAAAAGACCGGGACGTGCATGCGAGATAAGAACATAAGAAAAGCTGTGCTGGATCAGACCAAAGGTCCATCTAGTCCAACACTCCATACACACAGTGGAAAACCAGCGGCCCACACAATCCCTGAAGCAGGATGGGTGCAAGAGCTCCTCCTGCCCAAGCTCCTCAGCAACTGGGATAAGCAGACATGCCACTTCTGTTGATGGAGGTATACATAGCCTTTAATGCTGGTAGCTACAGATTGAATCTACTTTCAAGAACCTGTCCAATCCCCTTTTAAAGCCATCCAAACTGGTTGCCATCTCCACTTCCTATGGCAATGAATTCCATAGTTTAAGAATATACTGTGTGAGGAAGTACTTCCTTTTATCTGTCCTAAACCTCCCATTCAGCCTCATGGGATGACACTAGGTTCCGTTGTTCCACTAGGTTCCACTTTCTCCACACTATTCATCATTTTAAACATCCCTATCATGTCTTCCATTATTCACCTTTTTTTCTAAATCAAACAGTCCCACTTGTAGCTGCTCCTCACAGAGGAGCTGCTACAGCCCCTTGATCATTTTAATTGCCCTTCTATGTACTTTTTCTAACTCAGTAATGTCCTTTTTCAGGTATGGTGACCAGAACTGAACACTATATTTCAAGTGTGGTTGGACATATATAATGATTACATATTAGATAATCATTACCATCCTAGAGTCCAAGAAGTACTTATGTTTCAAAGTGGCATAGGAACTAAATTAATTGCAAATTGGAAAATGCATAATCTTCCTATCCCTAATGAACTTCCTTGGGATTTAATATAAAATAAAAGGTAAAGTGGCCCAGTGGTTATTTTTATATTATAAAAAATATAATCCTTGCTCACTTACGACGCAGCAGTGTTCATGTGTCGCACACATGAGGTCCCTAGATCAGTGTTCCTGGTTAGATCTGGGATAGGTCACCCTGAAGGACATATAATAAATTTAATTAAAATTGGAAGGGATAGGATGACTTGTAGGCATCAAAGAAGATATCTGGAGGCACAATCGTTCCCACAGGTTCTACTCTTCCTGAGTCAAAGAGATCGCTGTTATCAGGACTTGGGGATACCTTCTCCTGAGATATTAAAAAGAATCAGAATGGACAATACTGGCCCAAGACTAACTCAGAATGCTGAACATGCAGGATTCCAGCTTACATGGAGCCCTATATGCACGGAGATCAAAAAGAGTATGCTTCATCCTTGCAGATATCCATTCTCAATGTGAGGATGCTGAAGTGTGGGGCCAAGGGGTTGAAGAACATCAGGGGTAGAGCCAGCAGCATCACCAACATTACGTGTGGGACCTATTTGTACATGAGAAGTGTCCATCGTCTTAAAGGAAGCCTGGCCAGGGGTCTCACTCTGGCCCTACAGAGTTTCCACGATGACCATGCTCCTTTCCTCCAACTATTGATTGTGTGCTGGTGTAATGGCTTTTATTAGTGTGTTTCCTCTCATTCAAAAAGACCAAAATGCCTCTCCTAAGGCTTAATGATGGAAGAAGAGCATTTGAATATACAGGACAAACAGAGGCAAAATTAGTTGATGAGTCCTTTTATCCTTTTTATCCATTTATGCTTCAACAAAAAATTTTCTTGTGGGGCCAACAACACTTTTACATTGAACTGATGTATTGTTCCTTGAACCTGATTTCATTAGTTAACTTGAAGGAGTGAAATCAATAAGGCACAATTTTTATAAGGTTACAAAGAACAAGAATTTGGGTGTTTCTCTATGCACTTCCTTCAGATTCTCCCACATTGAACTCAAAAGCAGCATCCTAATTGATATTGATTTCTCAATCCATACAATTCTACAATGTCAGTATGGGAGTTACAGGGATGTGACTAAAAATAGAAAAAGCTAAAAGCGGCATAGGATGGAAAGAATGTTTTTAAACACTCACATACACACAGCAAGGTTTTTCATTGTTCAAACTTTTCATCTTACAAAGAGGGCATTGAAAGACTCTAGCCTATAGGTCCTGAAAACAACAAGGTAGAATTTTCTTTTTCATAAAAACAAATTATTTCCAATGTGCATTGCTTACAGTTACACAAATGATGCACTGTCATCATGACTTTTTAGTACTATATTGCTATGTATCATGGGTGGCCAGACTTGCTCAATGGAAGAGCCACATTTGATGAATGTCAGGTATTTGGGAGCCACGAGTGGGTTGCTCACAGGCGGTGGGGGCCAGGCAGCAAGTGGCAAGTGGGCGCCCACGGGCCCCTGCAGCAGCAAGCCGTGAGCTGCAACATAAACTCAGAGTGCATGCAGCTCCCGAGCCTCAGTTTGGCCACCAGTTTTGCTATAAATAAAGTCAGATCTACAAATCACATTAATCACTTACATGGCATTTAAACCTAAAATCTTAACCTTATTCTCTAGTACTTCACTGCAGTCACAGGTACTGGATCTAAGATCCCTGAAACTGGAACGAGATCAGAATGTCCGTATGTTTTGCTCAGTTCTCCATGGACAATTGCGCAAAACTGAACTGCATGTTTTGACATTTCCAAGTAGCATATTTAATCACGGATAACTAAAGCCCTCCTTCAGGCATTCTAAAAGCATGTAGGGTCTGCATGCAAAAAGGACGGGAAGGAATTAGCACTACTAGCTCCCTCCTGTTGAAATCTGAAAATAGTCCTCTGTGTGGAAGGCAGCTGTCTGCCACAAAGAACCTCCTCTTTTTTTCTGATTTAGAACTTCACCTGAGACCCTGTTTCTTACATGTAGATGGGAAACACTTTTGGCCCTGTGGGCTATACTTAGTGCTGGGTTGGGGGATATGTACAAGTTTCTATACATACGTGCATACACAATTACTCTCTCGCACACAAGCTTTTCCCTGTACCACCACATTTTGTTACACATCTCTCCAAGTTGTGCTGAGATAGCTGGGAGGTTAGAAGGTTACTTTAACCTTCCCCTGCCCTTTATCTGGACCAAAATCATTGTTAGCATGGAATCCTGATGCAGCCGTTCCCACTTGCCTACCTGTTGCTAGGAATGATGGATAAACAGGGATCTGGGTGGTGAATAGGCTAAAGGCCCTTCCCTCCCACAACTTCCTAAGGACAGGGCTCATCTTAGACCTGACTGAGGCATTGCATCAGTGATACCATTGCCACCCACTACAATTTATTTCAGCCCATTTATATAGCTTAATCCCCTTCCCAGGCAACCAGGAGAATCCAAGTGGGAAAGGGATACAAGTCTTTACATCCTCACTTGCAGCCCTGTTCAAGCAGCCACGAATTAGGCAGCAATCATGCCATTTACCTGTGATTTGATTCAGGATGTGGCTTCCATAGTAGGAAAGACTCGGCTCACAGATAGCTCCCTGATCCAATGGTTGGGAATGCCCCTCCTCTTGTGCCAGTTCATCATGGCCCCTGACTGTGTGCAGCATCTTCAGGGGAGTGTTAGGAGAAGGAGGATCTGGAGAAGTCTATTTCCATCAGTGCATTTGATCCAGTGTAAATCTGACTCTAATGCCTAATGTTTGAATCAAGCCAATGTTATTGCTTTGTTTTGTATCCTTAATTGTCCCTTTTCCCCTGTCAGCCAAGCACTGGAATTACGTGACCCTAGGCGCACATAACTTGCTGTTTCTTCTTTAGTCTCTTAGAGAAACAGAAAATCTTGTATATATTGAGTAAATCAGCAGAGTAATGAGAACGTGACTTTGAAAAAGAACAATCTCTTTTGTCCAATTCTGTAGGCCCCCTCCTGTGAGTGAAGGTGCACCCAAAGGAACTCAGGTTGTTGCTGTAACTGCTGCTGCCTTGAATCAGACTATTGTCTATTCCATTGTTTCAGGAAATGAAGACGGTAAGTCTCAAGCTGTCCTCCATGACAAATGAATAAAGTGTTCTTTTAAATGAGAGAAGAAATGCCCCAAAGAAACAAAAGAATTTGTTACCCCCGTTTGCAAAGGACTGGATTTCTAGTATGATTTATTTTCAGCACTAATCTCACTGTATTTTCTGCTTGCATTGTGGATTTTTTAAAGAAAAGCTTCCCTGGAGAGTTGTGCTTCTGCACTGCTAGCTGGGGAGGTCTCATTCCCTCATTCAACTGGATTAAACTGTTAAAACTAATTAAACGTGTACTGTGTCAATATGCCCATGGTTGCTGCCTATCCAGCACTATTTTACAAAACACAGGCTCTGAGAAAGAAGGCAGGCCAAGTCCCAAGTCCAGGGCACTACACAAATTCGGATGCCCCCTAGACATGATGTTGAAAATCCACAACCAGTTCTTTCATTTCCTTAAATCTCTTTTAAAAGCAATTTTGTGGGACCCTAAGCTGGATCAAGATGTCACTAATGGGAGATGGAGGCCTTAACAGTTCTCTTGTGCAGTTTTTCTTCCATATCTGCTGTGTACTCTGATACTTTTAATTAATGGGGCCAATAGCAAGAGGGGAGCAAATTGCACTGCAAAAATGATACCATTGAAAGTGTTCTTTCCTCTCCCCCTTTCAAGATCCTTTCAAGACACAGAGACTTTAGAACAAACATGCATTCGTTTAGTATTGCCTGAGTCTATCCTGTACTGTACTGAACTAAAAGTCTCCCACAGGACAGGGGTGAAAAGCTCACCAGCTTGCAACAGGTTGCCTCTTGAAACTGGAGACCATCCAACTGCCTTAGGTCACCCCTTCTACCTTCCAGCCTCGGACAACTGAGGGCAGATCTCCTACAGCCAACTCCAGCCTACACCACCACAGTTCCTCCACCCCCAAAGGAGGAGCTTTTCTTCACAGGAACCCCCTGGGAATTAGTGAAACCAAGCTTTGGTCTCAGGTCCTGAAGTTCTTCAAGCTGCCTCCAGAGAGTGTATTCACTTGTGGCTGCATCCCTATGTAACCTCAGGGCTTAGCCTGAGGGAGGCAACCTCCAAAGGGGAAGCTGCTAACATGCAGACTTTCTCAACCAAACAATACAGTACTATTTCACTGATAGCCAGTATTACCACTTAGAAAGTCTTTTCTGTCAGCAAGTGATAGAGAAGTGAGGGATATTCTTTAATTCTAGGTAGAAGAAGGAAGCAGACAAATCTTTGGATTCAAAGCCTTTCACTTGATTCAGGAACCTTTTGATTTTGACTGAAACTTCCTATCCCGTCCTAATGTTTCAGGAAGTTTTACATCATTAGCAATTATTATGATATTGTTGTTGCTGTTATTACTGCTATTACTACTGCTGCTGGCATTGCTGCATTCCAGGTGTGTTTGCCATTAATAATAGAACGGGTGTTATCTCCATCAAAAAATCTCTGGATTATGAAACTCTGAAAAACTATTTACTTCGTGTACAAGCCGATTCATTGCAAGTGGTCCGCTCAAATTTACCTGTGCCATCCAAAAGTAAGTTATGTTCGTGACATTTCTTATTTATGCATGTATTTGAGTTTCTACCCAAACAGTCTATCCCTTTCCAGCTACTTTAAAACTTCACCTGTAACTTTGTTATACCCTTGGAACACATTCCAAACCTGTGATCACTTGCATGATCAGAAGCTTACACTTACTTAGAGCAGCTGAAAATGAGCTGGAATTAACATTTTCAGGACACAAGTAATCAGGGTTCACAAAAGGAAGCTCCATAGACCTGCCCTGTCCTGGAAACATTCATTTCAGGCAAGTCTGCAGGGTTCCTCTAGTGGTCATTTCTGGTAGTGTTACCTTATGAGTTCTTGGCAGGCTGTCAGCTTGGAATATACCTGCCGTTTATACTCTTGAATGCGATGGATACTAGCGGTTTCAGATATGGTAAGGCTGTTTCATTTTTTAATACATGTCCATGTTTCTGGAGTGGTTCATGCTGCTTACCCTCTCCCAAATGCCATGTGTGCTTGCAAAATGTAAGAGCCCAGTGCTGCTGCCTTCATGCCGTAACAGCCAATGAGATGGCAAGCTGCTTGCAAGAGCTAGATTGGCTCCTGGGCTGCCTAACACTTCAACCCTGTCCAGTTTTCCTGATGACTCTGGAATGCTTTCAGTAGTGATTTGCCAGTGTTCAGTGATGCTTAAACTCCTTCCACCATCATATCATGTCATCAAGTCTGCCTCCTGCCTTGTTCTGCAGGGATCGCTTGTAGCACGACACCGATAAAACTGTAAGCACTTGCATATTTGAAGTCTGAACCATGGTTACATTTATTCATTTATTTTTATTTATTTATTTAGGAGACTGCTACGTTGCCCCAGTTGCTGAACCCTCGGGGCAGCTCACATCCATAAATAAACTTCCATAGAATAATATAAATTAACAATATAAATTTCGCCCTGGCCAAAGAATAAAATGAATAAATACTATTAACAATTAAAATGACATTTGAACAAAAAGGTCTTCGCCTGGCGCTGAAAAACAAATAACAAATTAACAATTATATCATCTTTTCTCTTGTGGAAAATCCTTTACAGTACAATATATTGCCAAAGTAAATACATTTATTTTAGCCTTCATTTTTTTTACTTATTTACTTATTTGCTTATTTATTAGATTTTTATCCTGCCCATTTGGCAAAATGGCTTGCTGGGCAAGTTACAAAATTTTATAATAATAACAATATACAATAAAAGCATAAGAACATGAACAAACATTTCACAACAGTAAAGATGCCTCACAGAAAAACCAGCAATAAAAGCACACAACCACACAGTTCTTAAACAGCAGAACAACATTGAAAAGGTGCAGTAACACAGCATATAACAAAAATAATTTTAAAAACTCGTTCAAATTACCTTAATCAAAATATTGGGTAAATAAAAAGGGTTTTGTCTGGCACAGAAAAAATATAAAGAAGGTGTCAGGCAAACTTCTTTGGGGAGCTGATTCCAAAGTCAGGGTGATAAATAAGAACACACAAATTTTAACAAGTTATTAAGTTCTCTAATACTGACTTGCACACAATGTCAAGAAAATGAAAAAGTCTGAGCTGGGATTTTTAAACCTTTTTAACAGCAGAAACCAATGCAACAGAATTGTAATTAAACAAGGCAATTCTAAATATGTGAGTGTTTGGGGGGTCAGTGGCAGATGCCTGATTTCAGGCATTGCTTGGGGGAATTTCTTTACTGGCTTGTGTTTCCCAGTGATTCCGCATACTTTTTTGTTTGTGTTTTGTTTCAGTCTCTTGTAATTCCTCCCCTCCCTTCAATGAATGGAAGGGAAAATATCTACACCAGCTCCACGCTCTGTAGGTTATGGGCTCACGTAGGGGCTTGACAGTGGAGCAAGGACTTGAAGTCACAGAGCGTAAGACCAGGCTTCCTCACTACAACCTAAGCCAGCACTTGGCCCCTACCAGCTGATAAACCCTGCTGGTGGTTCTCTTACAACTGCAGGTCTTTCCATGAGTGTACTAGAGGTCTGCAGGCAAGAGAGGCTGCCCCACCAGTGGAGCTTCTTTCTGCTGGCAGAGGAGCTCTTCTGTTCCATCTCAATCCCTTAAGGTGCCCTTTGGGAGGTGAGTGTTAGAATTGCTCTGAAAACAGGAAGCTTTAAATCAATAGTACAGTGGTGCATTATACACACACACGCACACTTTATGAAAGAGTGTGTCCATTCGATGAAAGGATGGAAGCTTTTTTGAAGTTTTCAATAATCATAAGTTACAAATTGGTAACTTGATTTAATATAATGGCATCTGAATTTATGAGAAATTTCATGCTTCATCCCAATTAACTAAAGCATGTAACTATTCAGCCCAATTAATTAAACAAGGAATTGGTCTTCCAAATTAATTTTTTATGTGGGCTTACTCTTTTTTATGTAGAAAGACAAGGATCACATTTTTACTTTTGTAAAGATATTTTTGTACAGTCAAGAAATCTGTTTTGTGTTCTTCTCCATCTGGCTATTTTATATACCCTAAAACCTTGGATTGCAAGTAACTTGTTCTGCAAGTGTTCCACAAGATGAGCAAACATTTCTAATAAATTTTAACTTGATAAATGAGCGATATCTTGTAATATGAGTCACATGATCACAACTGAGCCAATGGTTCTTCTCTTTCTCTCATTGCTGTCTCACCCTCTTGTTTTGTGCTAATGCAAGTGGGTATTTCATAGTCAAGCCCCTGCTCATGTATCATTCTGAGACTCCACGAGCCTTCAAGAAATGCAAGGTACAGAAGAGCCAGTTAAATGTTATATGGAGGCCCAACAGCAAGGTTCCTTGTTAAAGTTGCAAAAAAGAAAAAGATTCCATTGAGCCAATAGATAGCAGTGATTCCGTTAGTGATAGTGAAAGTCGTCCTACACAATAACCCTCCTCCCTCTTGTCTCCCTCACACCAGGTTAATTTTATTTTTCTTTATATGTTTTATTTTCTTTATTATTTTGTATTATAGGACTGTATTGTAATCATTTTATATGAATATTTTTGGATTGTGGGACAAATCATCAGAGTTTCCATTATTTCTTGAATTACAAGCATGTTTCCCGAACAAACTATGCTTGCAAACCAAGGTTTTACTGTGTAAGTCAAAGATTTGAACTAAAACAATTTATAAAGTCACATTTACCTTTCAGGTGAATGCTAAATGGAATGGTTAGCACATCTTGAGATCAACCTTATATGTTTAATATTGTAGAATGGGTTAGCTTATTATTGACCACTGTTCCATTATAAAGGCATCATGCAATTAACTGAAATATATTAATAGGAATGGCCATAAATCATATGTTTTGCCTGCAGAAGGTCAACAGAAGGAATGTCTTGGTATGGCTGGTGAAGACCTCCATCTGAAGCCCTGGAAAGTCTCAACTGGTAGTCTATATGTTTTGGACTACAGCTGTCATAAACTTCAGCCAACATTGCCGTTATCTGGCTTCTTTGGAGTGGTACTCCAAAAATATTCCAAGTGTGCCAGATTGCCTACCCCTGGTTTGGAGAATGCAAAGCTAGCTAGACTGGCCACTGGTCTAACAGCATAAGAGTATGTCCTCTGTCCTTACAAACATAAAAAGATGATTCCCTCAGAAATTTTTCTTTAAAAGATATGCATACAGTTGAACAAGGGTGTACAAGAGAGCTCAGTGAAATAATGCAGCACAGCATGTATCATTGTTTGAATTAATTCACCCTTCTTAGTTGCTTCTAAATCATAATAACCATGAACCAAAACATTAGGAGTCACAGCAACATGTCTTATGAGAACATCAAAACACTTGACTAATCAGCCTTCTAAATAATAATGAATTACAGGGCAATTAAAATAACAACTTGAATGTTATTGATTTCATCCTGTGTTTTTGCTTCAGGGCATATCCTTGTAATGTTTCTCATTTCCAGAGGCGATATGCCAGAAATGATCCCTGAGAATGATGTGAGTGAATTCATTTCTTATTAAAATTAGCATTCACAGAAAACGTCACTCACCACATAAAGTTACTAGTTCTTCCACAATAAAGAAATTTGCACTAGTAGTCCGTATGATTTCTTTGTACTGTTCCATCATGGACAAAGAATTATGATATATCTATGCCACAGAGTTTTTGGTGTATGTGTATGCATGTGTGTTTAGAAAAAGGAATGGCATTTTTTATTTTTAAAACATTGTTTGATTAAAGCATTATTTCAAGCATTGTTCTTTTTCAGCAAGTTTTCAAAATTCAGATGAGACTTTTTTTTTTTTTTTCAGTAAATGACTGTTTGCCACAACAGCCTTGACTTAGGATTTTCAGTACGTGGAATCTCTCAGGCTTGATGCCTCCTTCCTCTTTTATTATATTTCATTATCTGTAAAGGTGGTAACAGCAAGATTTCTCTCTGTGCAGTTTACACTTTAAATGAGTTTGTTTTCACATTGTTTTCCCATTTCCCAACAATTTCCATTGTTCCTCCTCCTTTGAGCAAAAGCCAGTGAACCAGGTAGACACAACAGACAAATAATTGCCTAAGTCCAAGATCTGTCCTGCATATAGGAAGCAATCTGGGTCCATTTGCAGTTTCCATCATAAGGGAATTTCACATGAATTTACCCCCCACCCCCAGATGCTCTGTGATGTTGCAAGAGGTTATGCACAGGGGTTCCCACCAGCCCACCACCCCCACACAAAAGAGAATGGATTGGCTTGCTCTTTTGTGAAGGCAAGACCAGGTCTTAATTCAGATTGATAGACAACCTGCCATCTCTTTCAAAACCTGCCATCTCTATCAAAACAGGCCTGCCATGCAAATTCTCAGAGGACCCAACCCACAGGAGATCTTCCCCTTCTCCTTCTCCTTCTCCTTCTCCTTCCTCCTCCTCCTCCTCCTCCTACAGGCGAGTGCGGGGGGGGGAGTGCAGCAACTGAGAGGACTTCCATAAGTAACTCTGTAATGATGATGTATTAGCATGTTTGAACTGATGAATAAC